AGATTATCCTAAAGCATAAGATAAAAGCTAGGGATAAGGACCATCTAACCAACAAGAAGTCAATACTTGACATTATGAGCCAAGATAGAATTCCCATTCTTTGGATTGAAACCAAGCAAGCAAAGATACTAGACCTCTTGAGAGAACCAAACTTCAAGTGTATTAAGTCTTCACAAAAATTGGGCAGAGTAACGGCTGTATATGGGTGAATTCCATATTACAAACAAAGTATGTAATCACAATAACCTGCACACAAAACAAATAAAACAAACCAATGTCTTGAGGTAAACCTCAAGAACTCCAGACAAAATATCAATCAAGGTCATAAGGTCTCCAACATAGGCCAAGGTTTCTAATCCTAAGTCCAAGAAGTCCAATGCTCCATAATGCCAAAGATAGTAACCAAATAGTCCAAGTATCATTAAAGATTTTTATGGTTCATGTTGATTATTAAGTGTCTTAGAAGAGAAAAGAAAAGCTCAAATGAGCAAAATAAAAATGACATGAAATGTAATGCTTAAAGTAAATGGTACATAAAGCATAAAAAATAAAAGGGCACAAAGTAAAAATAATTTAATAATTAGTGGTTAGTTGGATGACCATCTTGAAACTTGCATTTGGAACTCATTAGAGGATTGCTAGAATCAAAGCCTCCACAAAAAAAGTTGCATTTGCTTTTTGTCAAGTATATCATCCATTTGGAATCCTCAAAAGTACTATTTAATGATCAACAATGTTTAAGTGATCCGCGTTGACCAAAAGTGTTGTAGATCCATTAGAGGATTGATAGAACCAAAGCCTCCACACAATGAATCTCAAAGTTATTGGATCAAAGAGATCAAATTAACATACTTGGGCTTGCAAACATAGGTTTGGGCCACAAATGGTCATTTATTCGAATCGGGACAAAATTTAACGTTATGTTAAGCAATCGTAAGTGAACTTATGTAGAAGTCGCACCTATTTTGAGGCCGGTCAATAGAAATCTATGCACCATTTGTTTTGAAACATGATATAGAGATCATGCTCCAATAACACTTAATGCAATAAGAAAGAGATAAGATGGAAAAGGGTGGGGAAGAATATACAAACCACATTTGAATTAAAATTTAATCAAACTATTATTAAAATCATTCATCCATTTTTGTGGAGTTAAACTCAACACCATGGATCCAATGATGTTAATAAAGTTCATGATTAAAAATTCATCCCAAGATTATCCAGAAAATAATCACAAAATAATATTGCACTTAATATATACATTAAAAAGGTTTTTTTAAATGTTTAAAATAGAAATAAAAGAGAAAAATATCAACTATGTTCAATTTAATCAAGAAATAAAAAGTAAGACCATAGAAAAAATCAGAAATGAACTAAAATGTTTTTTTTATTTTTATTTTTGGTAATTTTTTAAAGTCAGAAACTATTTTTAAAATTAAAAGATATGAGTAAAATAAACCAAAAATGATAAAAAATAGCAAAGTCAGAAATAAAAAAATAAATGAGGTCATCAATATTTGTCACAATATCATTGGATCATTCGATAATTTTTTCAAAATTTAAAAATGCATAAAAGTATTTTTAAACATTTAAAACAATTCAAATAAAGTGAAAATTTATAGAAAATATCAAAACACAAAATAAAATTGTGAAAAAATAAAAATGAGAAAGAGAAAAATCAAAAATATTTTTCATAATTTTTCAGATTTTTTTGACTAAAAATGAATTTTCTATGATTTTTTGGAATTTAAAACAATTAAATATAAAAATCAGAAAAGAAAAATAAAGTCAAAAATATGTGGACTATTGGATAAGAGTCAAAACGCGTTAGTAATCAAATCCAAGGGATCTGACGCGCTGTGCATATCATGGTCATTAGTGAATAAAACACTGAATCAAATGTAAATCAGAAATTCAAAAAATCCAAATGGCGTTGTTTCATTGGTTGAAGGATGACACATTGGTCATCTTCAACCTCCAGCCAGTCCCAAAACCAGGTTGCTCAATCTGTAAAATTAGAGCACGAGACCTATGCCATTCGCTTCATCTCTTCAAGACGAAGACAACCACACCTTCGTGATAAATTTATATAAACTGTAGCTCAAGCAATTTGGAAGGAAAGTTTTGAAAATGGATTTGAAATTTCATGATCAAAATAAGTTTATAGATAAAAGTAAGTGTTGCAACTAGAACCAGGGAAATGAGAGCATCACAATGATATCAAAGTTTTGAAGAATTGATGAAGAAATCTACCTATTGAAATTGAGTTACAGAGCTCTGAAACTGGACTTCTATGGAGCAATATAGGGCACGATTCTTGAAGGTAATTATATGGTTAGCTTCAGAGAAGATCAAAGAAGGTAAATTGATAGAAAAATTAGATTGAAAAAGGCTTGAAAATAGATTTCGAAGTTGCAAAATTTTGAGTTATGGAACAAGTTTGGCAGGGTGATTCTGGCTATCCAAGCTTAAGAAAATGAATGAGGGATGACCCTCTATTTATAGGGAATCGAATGGAATGTCCAAGCGTGTGAAATGATGAAGTTTGGAGGGAAATCATGTGAAGTTGTAAACAAGAAAAGTGTGACTTCTAATTTTTTTAAAACTCATCCAAAACACGCGTTTTGTTATGCTAATCACTTCTGAAAGTTCACTAAACATGTTTAGAGGCAAAAACGCGCAGAAACAAAGTGTTTAGAAGCTAAACCAATGATTTAAAATTCTGACTTTTGAAGAAACTTCAGTTCTAAGTTACCAAGTTCAAATCAATGGCATTCTCAGCTCAAGGGGTCTTAGGGCATGATTTTTAATGCTTTAGAAAGATGAGGTTACAAGCTTTACAATGAAAAAAGAATGAAATCAAATGGATGCTTGAGCTGAAAGTTGCATTGAGTCAAAGTTGGAGAAAAAAGGTTGACTTTTCATACTTAGAAATATTTCAAATTTTTCTTCAAAAGTGACCTATAATATTTTGTATCCAAATATGGCCTTCCACTTGGAATTTGCTCTTGACCAAAAAAGATGGAATGAAATAGATCTCTTGAATGACATTTTGAAACTTGAACCATTCAAAATATCTAAAAATTGAGAGAGTTATGAATTGTTGAAGTTGGCAAAAAATCATGAAATGACCTATAATATTTTGTATCCTTAGGGCATCTTCCATCCATTTTCTCACTTTGCATATAAAATAAAGAATAAAGTTCACATCCTGAAGATCATTATGGAAAAAGAGTGGGCTCAAGGTGATAAAAATTGACCAAGTTATGATCATTTGAAGTCACACATGAGAAATTATGGGTGTTCATCTAGAGGACTTGTAATCTTTCTTCATCATCAAGTTTATTCTACATGAAAACTCTTTGAAACTTTTGAAGTGATTTGTTAATAACCTTTTGAAGAGAAGGATGTCTTGGTAATCACTCAAAAATATCAAAAGATGAGCAAAATATACTTCTTTGAAGTTCAAAACCCTAGCTCCTAGATCAAGAAAATGCTTTGAGGAACTTTGACAATTTTGAACAACCTTCTTGTACCAACACTTTTGATTTATAGATAGAAGTTGTTGAGGATGATAATGAGAACTAATAGCAACCAAAACCACTTCGATATCTTGAGAATTGAGAGAAATATGCACTTGTGACCAATGGGAACAAGACCTTGTTCAACCATGACAACTTCTTCCATCAACCCCTTGTACTTTTGAATCAATTTTGATAACTTTGAAATGTGGTGAACCAAAATAAACTTTGTCATGCCATTTCTTCCAAAACAACTTCAATGGTGAGGTTTGGATTTCTCAAGCTTTATTGACTAGGGCATGGAAATAAACTCATGAACCCATGAATCAACTTGCTAAGTCACATTGCCTTTACCTACATTATTAACAAGTGAGACAAACCAACATTACATTTTATTAATTAAAAAGTCAAAATAAAACATGCATGATCACAAAAGAAAAACAAGTCAAGGTGCTTGGTGATTTCTCAAAGAGCAAAACTAAAGATAGGGAGGAGAACCAAAAGCCTTAATGTAATCTTGTTGTGATTGAATCAACATGGTATTATAAAGGGATCTTAGAGGAAAAAATTGGGGTACAACACACCTATAGATGATTTGACCTCAGTATGAATTTCAACTTTGCATTGATTCTTTTCAGCAAAGAAATATAACAATGATACATCCTAATTATTTCTAAAAGGTTTAAGATCTTTTTTCAAACTACTAACTTCATGTTTCTACCATATTTTCATACCACCAACATTAAACTCTAATTCATTGCCTTAATTAGATCGCGAGCTTAAAAAAGAACCAGTAATCAATGTCTTTCATTATATGCATAAATATTTCCACTTTTATAACTTGTGATCTTTTACAAAATAATCCTTAGTGTAAAATATCACGTTAAATAAGAGCATCTCCTATAATACATTATATGGTAAGATGTAAATTTGATAATATTTTCACATAACTATAATTCAGTCAAAAAAATATCAATAGACATGAAATATTTAGTCAATATAGCATCAATGTGTAACTATCATAAACCAATTTTGGTCAAATATATCAACTATAATGAATGTTTTGTTTATAATATTCCATTGTTTTAACATTTCAATACGGAAACCCTAAAACGACAGAGGAAAAGAAACAATTCTAAAAAAAAGGAATAGAGAAAGAGACACGTTGATTATGCGATGTTCCGTCTCACTCCAATCGCGAACTCCTTCTCATTCTCATCCATCATATGTAAATGCAGAGCATCCGTTGACAATAACAGCCACGCGCTTGACGCCGCCTATATTCGACGCGCAGCCCACGTTGCAGACAAATCCGCCGGCTTCAGTTCTCCTCATCCCAACTTCGGCTGCGTCATCGCCACCCAATCCGGAGATGTCGCCGGCGAGGGCTACCTCTACGCACAAGGTACCAGCCCGGCCGAAGTTCAGGCCGTCACCTCCGCTGGCGAGCGCTGCCGTGGTGCCACCGCTTACCTAAACATGGAACCTGGCGACTGTGACGGGGACAACACTGCTGTATCTGCTCTGCTTCAGGTTGTCTTTTTCCAAATTCGTGTATGAAGCAATGTGACAAACAGTGCTGTTGTTCACAATCACAAGTGCAACTTTGTTTGGTTGTGTGTTTGTTGACTTCAGTTTTTGTTTGTAGTTGATATTTGACAGTGTCTGTGAAACCAAATCAGGGTGGTGTCCAAAGGGTTGTCATTGGAATGAGACACCCTTTGCAACATTTTAGAGGCAATGCTGTTCGTGCACTCAGAAGTCAAGGATTGCAGGTTGATCTTCTCGGAGAGGATCTCACCAGTAAGCTCATAGAGGTGTGTATTACTAGTAATGTATAGTGACTACCTTTAGCTTTTTATCATACATATGCATTCATGTCTTCGGTTTTATTTACAGGATGCTCAGAAAGAATGTCTTCTTGTTAATGCTCCTTTGATTTGTAGAGCTCATTCGCGTGTTCCCTTTTCTGTTCTCAAGTATGCTATGACCCTTGATGGTGAGGATTCTGTTCATTTTCTTGTTATTGTTCTCCCTTGCACAAGCTTTAAGTGTAGAATCTCGAAATTTCATTAGATTGTTGGCTGAGTTGTCTTGTCTCGTTACCTTCCTTTTGGTCCGTGCAACAGGTAAAATTGCTGCTAGTACTGGTCATGCATGGTGGATAAGCAGCAAGAAATCTAGAAAACTAGTTTTTGAGTTGCGAGCTAGAAGCGATGCAATAATAGTTGGAGGAAATACAGTTCGCAGGGACAGTGAGTATCATCATCATCATCAACATCAACGTTATTGTCTATAAGATTCCTGAAATTTGATTTTTGATACCTTCTTTTCTTCTAAATTCAATCAGATCCAAGAATGACAGCGAGACATGGAGGTGGGCATATGCCAATGCGTATTGTAATGTCTCAGTCCCTTGATCTTCCAGATGAAGCAAACCTATGGGACATGACTGAGGTTTCTACCATAGTTGTAACACAGAAGGGTGCAAGGAGGAGTTTCCAGAAGCTGCTTGCGTCTAAAGGAGTTGAAGTTGTCGAGTTTGACATATTAAATCCCCGAAATGTTATGGAGTATTTTCACGACCGCGGTTATCTTTCAGTTTTTTGGGAGTGCGGAGGAACATTGGCTGCATCTGCTATTTCATCTGGAGTAATTCACAAGGTTTCATTTATCTTTTTCATTTTGAAGTGATTTTTCTGTGTTTTGATCATCCACCAAAATTGTCAGCAATATTATGTTTCTATGTCTTTTGAAATTGGGTGGTTGTTAGAATTTGTATTGCATAGAAAACGAAGGAATATGATAGAAATGGAGAGAAAATTGAATATGGTAGTAGAGAATCTGAAATTGGTAATATTAGGAGCCTTAAGGGCCCTAGCCCAATATTGAAAGTGTATTCTATAAGGAACGAACAGTAGGAGAGGGTTAATTAGAAAGTTATCAGTTAGTTAGAATGAGGTGCTTAAATACCTCATTAGCCATCAGCAAAACGTTTTTTGATAATTGTAAACAAACTGTTAAACCCTAAGTAGAAGAGTGCTTCTGATTGCTCGTAGTAATTCATTACAATTTTTTCTCAAAGGATTTGGATCTAAGAATTTAGTCTGATCTGCGGGATCTTGAGACGGAGCCTGTGTGAATCACAATGAAAGCAAGGGTGGCAGCATTTTTAGACATCCATGGAATTCGTCAGGTAACTAGCCACACAGCATATCACACAGTTGGAAGAAATCAAAGGGGGGATGCCTACTACAAAAGGTATCAAGAAAATGTTATCTCGCTGGATGGAGAAACAAGGCATGACGCGGGAGAATGATGGCGAGGAAAGTGAGAAAAACAAACAAGTTGGATAAATCAGCCCAACCAAAATCGACGAATGGAGCTCCAAGATCAGCACTGAGAAGCGCCCTTGGGTCAAGAAGGTGCAACTACCGGTGTTCGAAGGTGAAGACCGAATCAGATAGATTGCAGGGCCTGGGAATTTGTTTGAGGTGCAAGGTGTTCTTCCCTTGGAAAAACTTCAACTTGTGTTCGTTAGTATGGAGGTGCAGCGTGCACTGGTATCGTTTCTGGCGATAGAAAAACTCAATAATCCACATAGGAGACCTTATCACCACATTCTTTAGTAGGTTTGGAGATCGTGGTGGAGGGAATGTGTTTGAACAGTTGGCAACCATGAAACAGGAGGACTTGGTGTTAGATAGGGGCTTGGTTAGCACATCTGCCCATTGATCAGAAGCAGGAAAATGAGATACAATAGATCCTTGCTAAGCACTTTCTCCCTGACAAAAACTATGTCCAATTCCATATGCTTAGTCCTTGAGTGTAGAACAGGATTGTGAGCCAAGGACACTGCACTTAGGTTGTCACAAAGCACTTTAGGTGTTTGATACTTGACTTTCAGTTCATGCAGAAGGGACTGAAGCCAAAGTATTTCCGCTGTGACTAGAAGAGCCAAGCTTGTGTATTCTGCTTCAGCACTTGACCTAGCCACCAAAGTCTGCTTCTTTGCCCACCAGGTTACCAGATTTGGACCCAGAAAAATGCAGGCTCCAGACGTGGACCTTCTGTCATCAGGGTCAGAGGCCCAACTTGCATCACAGAAGCCTGTAATAGTGAGGGGTGCAGTTAGATTAGAAGGTGATAGGAGCAGGCCATGAGAGACAGTTCCTTGAAGGTATCTTAGGATCCTTTTTACTGCTTTCCAGTGGTCCTCAAGAGGGCTGGAGAGGAACTGACACACTTTATTTACAACAAAGGAAATTTCAGGTCTTGTAACTGTGGCATATTGTTGTGCTCCCACCACAGACTTGAAATGAGTGGGATCATTTACCTGAGCTGAACCAACCTTTGAGAGTTTGGTGCTAGAAGCCATAGGTGAAGCAATTCCCTTAGCAGTAGCCATATTTGTTCTGTGCAGCAAGTCCCTGATGCATTTCCCTTTGGAAAGGAGAAGAGAACCATTAGGTAGGTGTGTGACTTCAATTCCCAAAAAAATAGTCTAGTTGGCCAAGATCTTAAGGGAGAAAGCCATGTTTAATTTAGTGACAAGTTGCTTGATGAAGGGAGGAGATGAGCCAGTGATGATAATATCGTCAACATATACTAGGACCAAAGTGTGGCATGAGGGTGTGAGAAGCATGAACAAGGAGGGATCACACCTGCTGGCAATAAATTCAAGTTGCAGTAGGGCACCTTGAATTGACTGACATTTAGCAAATTTTTAGTAATAGAAGGAACTAAAAGGAGCTTGTTCAACTTTAGGGAGGTGTTAGGGCACAAATTGGAAGGGAAAACCATGGAACCAAGAGAAGTGATAGACAAACCTTGGCCATTGCCAATTTGCACATGGTCAGTACTAGGCAGAGAAATGGAATCCATGAGATTGGTTGCATTTGGTGTCACATGGTGTGAAGCACCTGAGTCAGGATATCATGCCGCCTGATTGTAAAATGAAGAGCAATCAGAGCCAGCTACCAATGCTTGAGGCCTAGGGCTAGAGTACTGAGATGGCATAGGAGAACTTATAGGTCGAGTTTGGTTCATGTTCTGAGGATTTGGAGCTCTAAAACCAGGTTGAGTCCACACATTAGGTTGACTGAAGCCATAGCTTCCATAAGCTGCAGGAGCACCATAGGGAGAATAGTCGCCATAAGAATCCTGAGAATGGCGATAGTAGAAGTAACTAGCATCATGACCAGTCTTGTAGCTTATTTGACACTGAACAGAGTTTCTGTAACCATTACGGCTATCACCACGACCTCTGAATCTGCCACCTCGATTGCCTCTGCCACGATAGTTGTTCCCAGTATTGGAGTTGGACTCTAATCCAATTCCCTTTTCCTAGTATATTACACTGCTAACCTATATCACTAATAGATTCAGCCCAATTGGAGTCCATTTTCCAGCCCTATAATTTTGGCAAAGAAAAGAGACGGGAGTTGGTGTTTTTTGTGTAGATTATAAAGTCTTAAACAAGGCCACAATACTTGACAACTACCTCATCCCTGTGATAGATGAGCTGCGGGGTGAATTGCACGGAGCAATTTTTTCTCTCAGAAATAAACCTGAAAGTAGTTACCATCAAACCGTAATATGAATGAACGAACAGGGCATTACAAAAACAGCCTTTAGGATGCATAATGGTCCCTATGAGTTCAAAGTAATGCCATTTGGGTTAACGAATGCCACAACGTCTTTCCAAGAGGCGATGGATTCAAGGATGTGATATTACCTACTTAAGCTTGTACTAGTGTTTTTTTATGACATACTAGTATATACCAAGACATGACTAGAACATTTAGAGCAGTTGAAGACAGATCTGGCTACCCTACAACAGTCTCATTATGTTGTCAATTAGAATAAGTGCAAGTTTTGAAAAGAAAAGTTTAAATACTTGAAATCTTATTTCATGCGAGGGCTTCACCATGAACCCTCAAAAGGGTGAATACATGTTCCAATGGCCAATTCACGAGGATCTCAAGGCAGTTGGAGGATTCTTTGGATTGACGAGATATTGAAGAAGGTTTGTTGAATAGTTTGGGAAGATCGTTGACCGATTTACTAGAAAGGCACTTTCATGTGAAGTCATGAAGCTGAGGAATCTTTCAGAAAATTACAGCAGCACTTAACTGAGGCACCTGTGCTAGCTAGCATTGCCTGATTTCAGCCAGGCCTTAACCATAGAGTGTGGCGCATCCGGAAGAGGAATAGGCACTGTCCTATCTCAAGGGAAGCAGCCTATTGCATATTTCAGCAAAGCCCTTGCTCCCATATCCTTGTCAAAATCCATTTATGAGAAATTCAAGCAATTCAAATGCATAAAGATACTTCTAATAGGGATAGAAAACGATTAGGATGCAAATTCTGTCTTAATATTTGGGTGGTTGTACTTATTATAGGAGACAAATTCCATTTAGAATGAGTTTTGCTTAGTTGGCTTTTTCATGTTTTGATTTATTTTATAAAATGAAAGGATAACAAAAATATTTATGTTCGTCAGGTTTATGCATTTGTTGCTCCTAAAATTATTGGTGGAAAGAATGCACCATCTCCTGTCGGTGATCTTGGGATGGTTGAGATGTCACAGGCTATAAATCTAGTTGATGTTTGCTATGAGCAGGTTAGTCCAAATTTATTTGCTTTTCCCTTCGAAGTACTAATATTATTTTATTCCTATTAAAACATTTATATATTTAATCTATGCATTTATTGTTGAATAAATCACTAATGCAGATTGGGCCTGACATGCTTGTTAGCGGATTTCTTCAACCGATACCAGACACGGCACCGACAATCCCATCACCAGAAAAAACTTTTGTTGTTGACCCTACTGTCTCACGTTATGAATCCGGCATCATATTTTTCTACAAAACATGGGATCCTTATGGTGCATTGTCAAATTTCTCTCCTCATCCCATTCAAATGCCTGACGAAAATGGCGATAGTGTGACTTGGTTGAGTGTGCAACATTACTACCAGGTACTTTTTTGAGTGCATAGATTCTATTTTTTGTTTTGCAGTATTATTCCGTTGCTCATAAATTTAATACGATGTCTAGGCGCACAAGTTTGTTGGAGTGGATGATACTGCTGCGCGGGATTGTATTGAAAGGATCAAATCTTCAAAAAGTCCAGAAGAAGCTGCAAGAATAGGAAGGTCAATGCAAAAACAGCATCCTGATCTGGTATGAATTGACTTATTTGAGTTATCTGTTGACATAAGCACTTCTGAGACCGTTCATGAGACTTTATGAAAATAGCTTATGACAAGTCCCGTGTGTTTAGATGTTTGAAGCATTATATTTTATGGTGCTTGCAGATAAGGCCTGACTGGGACAACGTCAAAATCGATGTTATGTACGCAGCACTGAAATGCAAATTCTCCACATATCCGCGGCTGAGTTCTATGCTAGTTTCAACTGCTGGTTCGGTTCTAGTTGAGGCTTCTCCACATGATCTCTTCTGGGGTGGCGGTCGAGAAGGAGAAGGCTTGAATTATCTTGGACGACTTTTGATGAAGTTGAGATCAGAGTTTGTTGAGGAATCATCATCATCATCATCATCAAGTGAGTCCCCTAGTTTAGCTGTATAGTTTCAAAAAGAGAAAAGAGAGACAATAACAATATTTTTGTTGTAGAGTTCAAAGAATAGGTTGGTTTGGTTTAGCATGTGAGGATCCGAGTTCATAAAAGGGAACCGCGGGTACCCTAACCCGCCCGGTTCGGTGATGACAATTTGGTTTTTATTAAGCTGTATTCTTGGTTGTCTTCCTTGTTTTGATTTTTGCAGTTGTTTTGACTTGGACATAAGAAGACAAAACTAAATAATAGGCAAGAAGTTACCAATATTCTCATTGACAATTTTTCCTCAGATACAATTTGGAATCGACCTGCATCATACAGTAAGCTGATCAAATATAACCTCCTACACGTGAATATACAATTTCATCCATAAAATTGTAACCTTGTTCAATTTTTTTTTCGTTCATCAACAACACTGAAGAAAATTTCCAAATTTATACTCAAAATTACTAATATGGAGTAACTAATATTAATAAATGAAAAAGAAAAGGGATCAATTATAAGTATGAGATTCTAATTCGCGTGCTCTTCCTCCGCATCTCATCATTGTGTCAAACTATGTCTCCTTGATATATAGGTTAATATTCCTCCTTTGCTATCACCGAAAAGCTCTCGTTGTAACCACTTAAAACGTTATAGACTTTGTAAATGTCAGATAGATAGCTGTAAGCGTCCTGGCGAGTATATGTGTATGTCACAATGACATGAGAGCAAGGCATACAGAAGGTCTGAAATTTTCCACAGTCGAAACATTCTCTATTTAGTTTGACGGCATAGGCTAAATTTGGCCTCCCTTCATTGTGGTCCATTGTTTCTTGTACACTGAAAGTGTGTCTATGACAGTCAAAATTGTAACCGCATGTGAGCCAACTTGATTAGCTTCTTCTTTCATCACTTTCATACAACGTTCACTGAATAATTGCCCTAACTTAACACGACACTCCATTTTCGCCTCTGATTGTAAAAAGTGATGCCAACCTAAGATAGGTTGTTCTCACTAATGCGGTTATTGATAGATTTCTAATTCATTTGAAGACCCCGTTCATGGATTCTATAAGATTTGTTGTCATGTGACCCTATCGACATCCTCTGTCAAATGCCTCTGTCCACTTCTCCAATGGTATGTTATCCACCCACCTCAATGCATATGCATTTGAAAATCTAATTTCGTCGTGATAGTATTGAAATGGTGGTTGAGTTAGAGCATAGTCCGCATTCACCGCTTTTTTTTTGAAGGTTCTTGTCTTTGATTGCCCGCATGAAATTTTGTGCGATATGTCTAATGCAATAGACACGTGTAGGAAGAGGATTATGCCATCCGTTATGATGATTGTTGTAACCACTCTCAATAGAAGTAATGTCTGTCTGAAATCAAACAGATATTCGCTTGTGAAGCAACGTGTGTTCTAAGATTTTTGAGAAAGAAACTCCAACCACCAGAGGTCTCACCTTCAACCATAGTGAAGGCAATGGGAAAGACATTATTGTTTCCGTCTTGTGCAACTGCCATAAGTAAGGTACCTTTATATTTCCCGTATAACCATATTCCATCAATTTGCATAATAGATTTACGGAATACAAAACCTTTGATGAATGATTGAAATGTCCAAAAGAGTCTATAAAATATTCTATTTCCATCAACACAAGTTCCGTCTAGCGCATATGCAGGTAGTGTATCCATGATTGCAACAATTCTCGGTGCATATGTCTTAAGTGACACCAATCACTTTACTTTATGTGAGACGCAGGTAGTCGAAAATTGTAATTAACGTCACGACAACAAATGACATACTTTCTTGTATCAGTGCGGTCTATATTAAAATCAACAGAGTTATCTATGTGGAATTTTTTAACAGCTCAAACACAGTCTTCTTTAGTACAAAATCGACCACCCACTTTTAACTCACCCTCTGACTGCATATATAGGTTGTAAAAAATATCAGAGGATGACTCATCGTCATGCAAGTTCACATTTGTCATATGTTAAGGCGGACAATATAAATGACTTAGAAGTAATGGCGCCTGACCGTCATCTTCAGTGTTGGTGTTCAACATATTATCGAATTGTGTCTCACTTTCTTCTTCTTCGTCAACGACGCCAACTTCAGCTTCGACTTCATCTAAATATTCAGCTTCGATTTCATCAACAGGTTGATCAATTATTTGCGATTGTTGAGATACTTGAGATTGTTGGAGACAAATATATAACGCAATATATTTCAATCCAGAATGTTCGTGACTAACAAGTATTCCACAAGTATTCCTCAAGGTGTCACCCCTTTTGATTTTTGTTTATTTGATTCTCTTTCAACCTCGTTCAATTTGGTGAACTCTTGCATCATTTGAACAAAATGGCCCAGCCAAGTCTCTGCTTTGATTGTTGAGCGAGATGTTCACTTTAGTGATGTAAATGGTATATGACATCCCAATTTAAAATAAACATGAACAAAATACCACAAATTCAAAATCCATCCAAGCACATACAATGTTTTCCTTAACCTGGTCCAAAATTGTACTTTTAACATATTTCAATAAATCTGGATATTTCTCATACACCTTCCTGAATTGTATACCAACATAGACATATAATCCTTTGTAGAAAAAATTATTATAACATTTTATGCATCCACTATTTTTTCCACTATGATGCCCGTCTTGACTATTTTTCCATCTTCGCCGTCTATTTGTTTTGTCTCTACCGCAGGTTTAACCCGACTTCTCACATTCTTTGTTATGTGATACCTACAAAGTAATGCATAAGAAGTAGGAAATATCTTTACAAATGAATTTATCAAAACGGTATCACGGTTGGTATCAATTAATTTTAGCATGTCTTCTTGGTTCTTCAGCATTACCCGACATACCTCTAAAGCTCAAGTACAATTATCCTTTTTTTTGCTCTCTAGAAATGCAAACCCAATAGAATAAGTCTTCTCAATAGAAGTAACACCAACAATTTCCAATAATGAAAGTCTGTATTTGTTGGTCTTATACGTTGAATCAAGGATGAGCGCAGTAGGAAACATGTTGAACAACTTTATAAAATCAGGATGAGTCCAAAATACATCTCTAATGGTTACCCCATCCTTGCATGTTTGGTAACTAGATACATACTTGTTATCATCTAAAAGTTTCAAGAGGTATTGCATTTCAGTTCTATCCCCGTGAGCTCTTTGTTAGTTTGGTAGCAAATATTGTACACTTGCCTGATATTTGCGATATTTCTGGGTCTTTTGTGTTTCAAAGTTGCAAGTATGTTTTTCGGTTGCACAAAATTCAATGTCATGTCTGAAACACATCCCTTTTCTTCCTGTATGAGGCGATATGCAATTGGATGACCGAATAGCTTTTCAAACAAATCACGGTTATGTAAATCACATATCACATTAAATTTTCATTTGTTATTTGCCAATCGATAGCCTCATAACTTAAAGGGACACTCATATTTTTTACACCTGTGTTATCTCGTTTAAAATTCTGAAGAAGATGTCTATATTTCCCACTTCTTTCACATGTCAATGTCACAAATGCACCTCTTATATCCGAACCATTATCAGACCTTCTGATTACAACATCAAACCCCCGTTTGGATGCCTCCGTATGAATTCGTTGAAGCATATGATCACGAAATTCAAGCTCTTGTTCATTATTAAATTGTTTTCCAACATATACCTCATTCACAATAACACATTTGACATTCAAAGATACAATAGATTTCCAAAAAACACCGGGATGCACCATATCTAATGAAAAAAAAAACATACAATACTCAATAACATCTAATATTGAAAACATACTGCTGAAAAATAAAAACAGACGACATTTGGAACTACATCTCCAGATGAACTCATTCAGACGTCAAAAATATATTTTTGAATATGACATACCTTTTTTCAACCTCAAAACATGATTAATGTGAGTAATGAGGCTTGAAATAAATGAAATTTACCTTGAATATGCTCCTTTTGATTTGATGAATGGAAGGGTTTATGGGAAAATGAATATGGGGTCGGATCATGTAGGTGGATCTTTTTAGCAATTTCACATTTGGTTTTTTCAGACATGCATCTCTAGAATAATCTGACATGCAAAAGTGACAAATTATCAAATTCCCGCTTCAAATAATTTGACATACATCTCCAGATAACTCATTGGAACACTTAACAAAAAATACGTTGAATACTATGCAACATAAATGTATCTCCAGAATAAAATTTTGTTGGGTTGTGGGGTGACGATATTTTTGTGAGGTGATGTTAATAAAAATGGTGCGTCCGGAAATATATTTCCAAAAACTGAGGGGAATTTTAGGATTTCCATAGAGTTCTTTTCTACTTCATAGGATGGGCTAAGAAATTCCCTTCTTTTAATGCAGTGAAGTTGGGTCATGTTAATCAGGTTATATCCAAACCATACCACAAAGAAGTTATGCAAGCCAAACATGACAATTTTTTTCCACTTCACTAAAGTCAGTTCCACTTCCAATAAAATTTTGATTAATATTGATTTTGTTGCATGTACGACTGTTCAAAAAAATAAAGAACTGAATCAAACTGTCGAACCGTATCAAACTGAAGTTAAAATAACTTATAGTTATAGTGACAAGGTTCAATTTCGATCAACACTTTGATACGTGAGAAAAAGAATAATATAAACTAAAATAAACGACGTTCAACAATAATAATCAATAAGTAAAAAATATAACAAAATAAAGCGAGAAAAGATGAAAGGTTTGTTTATCCAGTTCGATTAAAAGATCTACTATGAGGGAGAGAACAATTCTCTAATTCACTATAGTAGGAAAATTTGTTACAAGAGATTATAAATTAGTTAAAAGAAAAAATCCTACGCCTTTAGAGTTTCCAAGAACAATCCTGAAGGCGCCCAAGAACAAAATCCTATTTTCTACCAAAGTGTTTCCAAAAATCTCAAAATCTCAATAATTTAAGCACACAAATCCAAGGTGTACACAAGTGTTTCTCAATCCCCTTAGATAACTCCAAAGGTTTCCCAAAATTCTTTTCTTTCTAAGTTTTCCCTTGAGAAGACCCTAAACTCTTTGTTCTACCTTTTTTCTATAAACTCTAAGATTGTCACTATGTAAAATACTGAAGAGATGCATATTTATAATAGCTAAAACCCAACAAACAAAAACCAAAAGCACAACCCATTAAATGGATCCATGGACCGAATAAAAAATCCAAAGCATGCAAACCGAGAAACTGCTG